ATGTATACACATATGTATACATATGTGTGTGTATACACACACATATATACATGTATATACACATATGTATACACATACGTGTGTATACACATACGTGTATATACATGTATATACACATACATATACATACACACATATACATATATATATACACACATATATACATGTATATATATATATGAATGTAAAGTACACATGTTCATTTTCTTGGTAATTTAACATAATCATTAGGATAGATCGCCATTATCAGAGCCTAGATGTTTTCTAGAGCTATTTTATCTTACTCAGATTTAAGATTCAGAACTGGTAGCTGGATGTCGAATAATCTCTGAGATAGCAATGCACATATAGTCTGGCCATTTCTGTTCTTAGATGGCCAGAGAGTTGTGAAGCTGGTCTTCTGTGAGAACACACTGCCCTCAGGCTTTTCAACTTCACTCTGGGGAAGACCTAGCATGTGTTAGATGACCAAAGGTTGCCCAGGGAGTCTTTGAAAAAGACGACAGTTCCTCTGATAGGTACTATAAAATGATTTTGAAAAGAAAAGGAAGGCATCCCTACTTTAGTCTAAAAAGGAAAGAAAGCCTTTTTTCAGTTGCTCATATTGTCCTTTTATGAAGACTATCTTATGCTTTGTGCAGCTTTTAAACAAATACCCAGTCCTTTGAACATTTAGACTACTACATAAAGGCTTAGAAGTTGCAAATACAGTGGCAGTCCATTCCATAAATGGTTGGCCAATAGCATCATTTACAAAGACACTAGAATTCACACATTTTAAAATGTAAATTCAGTGTATCTTTTCACCATGAGCTGACTAGAAAACTAGGTTCATGAATTATTCTGCCCTAAATATGTCATCCTCTGATTTACAAAAGAGAATATAGTTACTGCCTTAATTTTTCTAGAGCTGATTGCCCTTTAAGTGAATATCCTTGTCTTTTCCTTCTAACTGTTGGCCTTTTGCTTATTTTACTGCTTAATAACATTTTTCCTGTAATAATAGGCAGAATAATGCCCTCCTTTCACAACCAAAGATGGGCCTGTCCCAATCCCCACATCCTATGAATGCTACATTACATGGCAGAGGGAAATTAGGTAGCAGTTTGAATTAAATCTGTTCATCATTTTACCTTAAGTGCAGAGATTACTCTGGGTTGTCAGAGCCACCCCAGTGTCTTCACAAAGGTCGTTAAATGTAGAAGAGGACATAAGAATGAAGTGACATGAGAGGCACTTGACTACTGTTACTGGCTTTGATTGAGGAGGGGGCCCCAGAAACCTAGGAACGTGGAGACTTCTAAAGCCTGGGAAAGGCAAAGAAACCTCTTTCTCCTTGAGCTTCCAGAAAGGAACGCCCTCCTGATACCCAGTGAAACTCATGTCAGATTTCTGACATACAGAACTGTTAGATCATACATTGCTGTTCACTGAAGCCACTAACCTTGTGGTCACTTGTTACGGCAACAGTAAAAATTAATATATTTACCACTGTTCCATGAAAGGAAGAACGAAGATACAACTTGAGGTACCTCCATCCAGGAAAAGATTTAGTGTGCGCTGAAGTTGCAGTGCTTGCTGACAAGAAGATAAAAGGCCATCCGCGAATTTCAGCACCTTGCTCTCAGCAGTCTACAGGTGCGGGTTCCCAGTGTAATGACCTAAAATACACTTCCCAACAATATACCTTTGTTTCAGTCAGCCTCCAGTCTGCCTACTTGACTGTCATTGGAGTGAGCTTTCCAGAGAACAGATTTAATTGTGTTATTTCTCTTTAAAGTCCATTTTGTGATTTTCCATTGTCTGGAGAAAAACACCCACACATGTGGGTTGGCAGTCAAGGCCCCGTGACAGTAGAATCTTCTATAGCCTATGTCATACTTCTCTTTCTTGTGTGCCTTGTGTTAGGCAAGGTAAGGTACTGACGTTCTGTGAGGCCTGCATAGTGCTTTGCGCTTTCTTCTTTGTACATTTCATTTCCTCTACCAGCAGTGTTCCCCCAAACCTTCACACCTGCTAGCAATCCCCTCTGAATTCTTCAAGACTCTACTCAAACATTAAATTCCTTGGAAAATCAAAGAATATACCACATCAAATAAAATTGTGTGGTCCATCCTTTATGCCACATTGTGACTAAATTTTTTTGTGATATCAAATTGTTTCCATTTCATTCTGTTTCATTCTGTGAGTTGAAGGTAGCATGTGGGTCTAATAATATATTTGTGGGATCTTAGTAACTCACATAGAGTATACAGTAGGTACTCAATAAATATTAAATGAACAAATGATAATGTTACCTGATCTGGTCAACCTACCACAGAGATGCCATTTTGAAGGCAGGTTTCTGACTTCCAGGCCAGTCTTTGGTTACATTCTACCTCTAAAACTTAAGTATTGTACAAGAAATTTTCTTATATACCTAGGCAACGTTTTCATTGTAAGTAAAATTTTGACACTGACCATTTTGTTTGTTTGATACCATTTCCCTTTTTATCTTTGAACCCTTGGAATTTCATGATTTTATTGTATCAAAATGAAAACCTCAAAATAATCTGTCTTGTTCTTTTCAAGGGTTTATTTGCAAAATTTTTTTTGTATGATGTATTTTTATTTTTTAAATATCATGAGGACTCTGAAATGTAATAGAATAGCATGGCAAGTATCAAATTCTTTAAATACTTGAATTTTCTCTCAGTGCTTCTATTTTCGGCCCTTCTAGAATTGTTATTGATGTTAATTTCTCAATAGTTATACTTAGGTCTGACCTGGCTGCACATGTCTTTATGAAAATGAGAATATATAAGGTAGAACTTGGAAACTGTAAAACACTATTCAGATGGAATGAGTTATTTTCATAACTTTTATTATCAGTTTACACTGTGACTGCAGAATGTTCGCAATTTTCAGGACGATGGAAGTAATTCCACTGGGAATGTCTCTATTTTACAACTGCGGTCAGAACTCAAAGTCAATACTTTTAGTGTGATCAGCAAAACACATCCTTCATGTTGCATAATAACTTATAAGTTTGGTTAACTAGTTTCAAAAAAGGAAAATTTTTATTAAGATGAATGAGTCTGCATTGGTGTTAATGTTTTACATAAGAATATCATCAACTTAAGAAAATAGTAGAAGGAAACTATTGATAAATCATTGAAACATAAATGTATTTAAAACAGATTTTAGTTCTGAAATATTATGAACATGTTAATAAATGTCTGGAAACTGTAGATTTTAATTGAAGAATTATCTAGCTTGGATGCCCACTATCTGGTTTGGGTAAAGATTTGAATTCTGTTACTTTTCATAGGTGATTCACCAGGAGTATTGCACTTCCTTTGATTTAAGGATAGCTTTAAAGTAGTCTTCTGATTTAACTACTGATACTTTCATCAGAAGGGAGATGTAAGGATCTTGACTTCTTTAAACATACCAGAGGTATCTCCCATTGTTCATTATGGCTTATTAGAGCTCGTCTCCAGGGAATTCATTTAGAACAAAATGAGTCTATAGAGCCTACTTATGTGATTGTGCTAGAGACTGCCCTCATCAAAGATGATACTTTTCTAGAAACCACAAACCCATTCTCATGTACTCCACGTCAGTTTCTCATCTTCTTACAAAATGCCAAATAAATTGACACATTCTTACTCCTTGTTTCACCTTTAAAGAGATTCCTTCTACCAGATTTCTGCCATTATATCACACTTTCCATATTATATGCAACAAGTCTATTCTCTTTAAGTACGTAAGTTTATAATGTATGATGACGTTTATTCATTACATGGACTTGGAGTTATCCTTGATTAACATTTTAGTTTTAGTGAAGCTACTAGCTGCCGCTGTCCTTAGTTTGGGAGTATATTTTTAAAGCCTTCAACCCTCTGTCCTTTTTTTTTTTTAATTTTATTTATTTACTTGGAGAGAGTGCCTGTGTGCACACCTGCATGTGTACAAGCGGGGAAGGGGCAGAAAGAGAGGGAGAGAGAGATGACTCCATGCTCAGCTCCAAGCCTGATGAAGGGTTCCATCCCATGACCATGAGATCAGAACTTGAGCCAAAATCAGTAGTTGGACTCTTTTTAAGTTTTTTTTTTCTTTAATGTTTTATTTATTTCTGAGAGAGAGACAGCATGAGCAGGGGAGGGTCAGAGAGAGAGGGAGACACAGACTCTGAAACAGGCTCCAGGCTCTGAGCTGGCTGTAAGCACAGAGCCCAATGCAGGGCTCGAAACCACGAACCGTGAGATCATGACCTAAGCCGAAGCTGGACGCTTAACCGACTGAGCCACCCAGGTGCTCCAAGAGTCAGACTCTTAACTTACGAAGCTAGCTAAGTGTCCCAACCCTTTGTCCTCTTGCTTGAGTATTTTTTCTTGATTAAACAAAGTTCAAAATAAATTTATCTGAACAGAATCTCTGTACTATGATCCTTTAAACACTTTGCATGGAGTCCCATGTTAACCTGTTACTATATAGCTCTTCATCATCTTTTTTAGGTCTATTGTATTTTTGTTTTCTTTTTTTAACTTTAAAAAAATTTAATGTTTATTTATTTATTTTTATAGTTGATTGTCAAGTTGGTTTCCATATAACACCCATTGCTCATCTCACAAGTGCCCTCCTCCATGCCCATCCCCCCCACACCCATCAGTCCTCAGTTCTCAGCATTCAAGAGTCTCTCATGGTTTGCCTCCCTCCCTCTCCTCCACTATTTCCCCCCCTTCTTCTCCCCCACAGTCCTCTGTTAAGTTCCTCGTAATCCTCCTATACGTGCAAACATATGATATTTGTCCTTCTCTGCCTGACTTATTTTGCTCAGCATAACACCCTCAAGTTCCATCCATGTTGCTACACATGGCCAGATTTCACTCTTTCTCATTGCCTTGTAGTATTCCATTGTATAGATAAGCCACATCTTCTTGATCCATTCTTCAGTACATGAAAAATTATTTCTTTGAATAACTATCAGCAACAGTTGTTTTATTTTGTCCTCACAGGTACTACAGTGCAACCATTCTACAGATGTCTGGGGTTGAAGATGATAGACTTGCAATATGGCTGGCTTCAGTTACAGCCTTTACAAATTTCATTTTCACGCTTGTGGGAGTCTGGCTTGTTGAGAAAGTGGGCCGCAGAAAGCTTACCTTTGGGAGCTTAGCAGGTAGGTGACTAGATGAAGAATTCAGTTATAAATTTTGCACTAATGATGACAAGTTCACCTTCCAAAATACAATACCAGTACCACTTGTGATTTTGTTCTTATAGCCAAATAAAAGAGTCCTTTTACACAAAAAGTTTTTTAAAAATAACTTAATGAATGTTATGATATGTAACTAGAATGTGACTAGAAACTGGAATTATAAGAACAATTTGAGTCTACAAGGGAGACATTCTGCTGCTGTTATTTTTGAGTTCTGCTCAAAGGTACAAAAGTGAAAAGAATAATTTTGCTTTTTTGTTCTTTGATTAAAAAATTTGATATTCTTAAACTCCCTTTTGAATGTATTTTATTTTTAAGTTTGGTATCATATGGAAGTAAATTTGGAGTTATTTTTTAAAGCTCTTTCAACAATAGAATATTAGAACCATATAATTTCTTCACAAAGCAGGGACAGACTTTTTGTGTTTGAACCAGGCTCAAATTCTAAAGTAAATTCTGGTTGGTTAAGTGTGATTTCTGTAACACTTAAGTAAGACAAAGCCTTTCTCATTTCAAATATCTTTTGTCTTTAAATTGTGTATATTTCATTATTTATTTCTTTGTAACACAAAGCCTGTTTCACTTGACAGAATGGGACCCACCTTTGGCAATGTCTTCGCATGTTGCTCGTATACTTTTCTTATTTCATATATACAGATTCCTAATTATCAATTAGCTGTCCTCTAATAGCTCCTTTATAAGTTTATTAGGGTAAGAAAAGATTTTTTCATTAAAATGTGAAGTTTCCAGGCCAGCATGAACTAACTTCCATTTTAACCAAATTATACCTTGAAACACTGATCTAATAGCACTGCTTCAGGCATTCATCCCAGATTTTAATGAGAAAATACATTCTGACTTCCAACCTCAGTTATTAGGAACTTGTAGCCTCCCCCATCCCTCCCTCCAGAAGGAAGAGTAGAATGCTTCTACACTCTGTCCTTGCCTAAGCAGTGGAAGGACTTGAGTCTCATCATGGAAGTTGAACTGAGGGGAAGGTGAGCAAAGATGGTCTGATTAAGAGGTAATCTAAACAGCCCAGGTACACAGGGAAGCAGGATGGTAAGTGAGGAAAGGTGAGGGACAAAGAGACTGAAAACCATCCATTCATAAACTTGTTGAAGAAACCAGAAGTATTTAGTCTGGAAAAAAAGACTAACGGGAGACCTAAGAGAGACCTTATTCTTTTTTTTTTTTTTCTTTTAAATGTTTGTTTCTTTTCGAGAGAGAGGGAGAGACAGAGTGTGAGTGGACAAGGGGCAGAGGGAGAGGTTAGACACCAAATCTGAAGCAGCCTCCAAGCTGTCAGCACAGAGCCCAACGCGGGGCTCAAACCCATGAACCTTGAGATCATGACTTGAGCCAAAGTCCACCGCTCAACTGACTGAGCCACCCGGGTGCCCTGAGAGCTATCTTACTGCAGATAGATGTCATGAGGGTGTAATTTTTACTTGATATGAGAGAAATATTCTTTTTTTTAATATTTTTTATTTATTTCTAGGAGAGAGAGAGAGACAGCGTGAGCAGGGGAGGGTCAGAGAGAGAGGGAGTCACAGACTGAAACAGGCTCCAGCTCTGAGCTGGCAGTCAGCACAGAGCCCAACGCGGGGCTCAAACCCACGAACCGCGAGATCATGACCTAAGTGAAAGTCGGACGCTTAACCGACTAAGCCACCTAGGCGCCTCGAGAGAAATATTCTTTTTTTTTTTTTTTTTTTTTTTTTTTTTTACAAATAGTTTATTGTCAAATTAGTTTCTACATAACACTCAGTGCTCATCCCCAAAGTGCCCTCCTCCATGCCCATCCCCCCCTCCCCCCCACATCCATCAGTCCTCAGTTTTTGTCAGCATTCAAGAGTCTCTCATGGTTTGCCTTCGAGAGAAATATTCTTAATAGAGCTTTTCAGTAATGAATTTGGTTGTCTTGTAAGGATGGTAAACTCTGAACAAAAGGATAGATGACCATTAGGTAGTGATGTGCTAAAAACAAAGTCCTACAGTTGGTTAGAAATGGGGCTTGCTGACTTCTGAGGTTCAGGTCAACCCTAAGAGGAAAAAACTACTTTAAACATTTTTAAATGAATACATACCCTTCCTTCTGAAACAGACGACCTCAAGAGGTCTATTTTTTAAATAGAATTTCTGATTAACTTTGGCATTTGGCTTTTGAGATCTGGGGAAAACTGCTGGCTTTGAGATCAGGGAAAAACATTTTTTCTAGTATCCTCAGTCCACTTATTTGTTGTATTCCAGTGAGACATTTTCTCATCAGTTCAGGTTTTTAAGGCTTTGTAGATCGAAAGCCATACTGCTTGGGTTGAATTTTGCAACTTTGGGCAAGTTTCCATTTTCTCATAGGTAAAATGCAATCAATTATAGTCCCCACTTCATAGGGTTGTAATCAGAACTGAACAGATTTATACACGTATAGCATGTGAAACTGTTCCTGACACAGTAAGGTTCCTAGTGCATCTTAGCAATCACAGCATTATTAATGACAGAGTGATTCTCTCTGGTTTTAACCATAATGTGAAATCAGCGTGCATCATCAGAATCCAGGAACTTTCCTGAAGCCTTCTAGCTGATGTCATGTTTCACCTCTCTATGTAGGTACTCAGCTCCAAGGATATCCAGAGCCCATCCCTGGCTATTAAGAGGAAGTATTAAGACAATTAACTGGGTGGACTATATCAAGAGATTTCAAGTACTGCTTTTTATGATCAACCCATAGGCACTCTTCTTCCCTGTCTTGATTTCTTTTCAGCCAAAACCACCAACGCCCCAGCTCTGCACACTACTAAAACCATGCACTGATTGATCTAGCATTAGAGAGGTATTACATCAAGTAGGCATCTGATTTCCTTGTTATTTGGCCAGTTAAACTGATGATGTAGATATTACAGTGGATTAGGAGGTAAAAGGCCTTGTGGTTTTTTTTTTAAGTTTATTTATTTTAAGAGAGCAAAAGAGAGCGAGAACATGCCAGCAGGAGAGGGGCAGAGAGAGAGAATCCCAAGCAGCCTCTGTGACCATAAAGCCCAAGCGGGGCTGCAACTCATAAGACATGAGATCATGACCTGAGCCGGAGTCAAGAGTAGGATGCTTAACTGACTGAGCTAAGGCCTAGTTTCTTGTCATAGGTCTCTTCTTTTACCTGTACAAATAGATACAAATAGGGCTATTTATGCAGTTCTGGTTTTTAACTGATTTGATAGGTCCCAGCAGAACCTAGAAGTTTACACATTCAGAAGAAAACTTGATATTCAACAGCCTTGCCCATGGATTAGTATTTCTGTAGCATGACCCTTCCAATAGATGCTCATTTCACTTCCTAATACCAATTGATTCCTGTATACTTATTTCAGTGTTTTTGTTATATACTTATAAGTTCTATAAGTTACATACTTATTTCAATGTTTTGCTTTCATTTTTGCGTAGGTATTAATATCCTGTTAATGCTAAGTATTAGAATACTGTTCTATTAAAAATTTTTAGAAGTAACCTAGAATTTGTAAATCTTTGATTTGATTTTGACCCCTTTTTTGCATTTTTATATGATTCATTTTTTCTGAATTTGCTTATTTTGAGAGAGAGAGAGGGCAGAGGAGGGGTAGAGAGAGATGGAAAGAGAATCCCTAGCAGGCTTTGCACTCTCAGCATAGAGCCTGATGCAGGGCTCAAACCCATGAACCACTGAGCCCAAACCAAGAGTCAGATGCCACCCAGGCACCCCATTCTATTTAGTTAAAAATAGTGGGAAAAGTTAGATCAAAATAATTTTTGAAAAGGCATTCATTCTTTAAAAATTGCAACAAATAAACTATGCATATCTAGACCTGGAGAAAAGAACTCTTTATACAAAGAAATATAAAATATAGAGTCCACGAGTAATTTTAAATGGAGGACATTTTATGGTACTCTTACCTTAAAGCTTGCTCAGAGAAGCAGTCTTTCTTGTAAATACTACGGATTTAAAGACAGCCTCTTGATTCTTTTAATAGAAGGTCTGTATCTATGTAGCTTTACTATAGTTAATCAGAAAGCCAGAAACACTGTTATTTTTTCCCCAAATAGCATGGTAGTAGAATATTTCTGAAAACATCACTCCGAGGCTGTCTCCATCAGAATAACCAGAGGGTACTTATTTTGTATTATGTATCCGTGAACCTTATCCCAGATTTATTAAATTAAGATCTCTGAAGATGGGGTCAGTAGCATGCACTTTAAACAGGCTCCCCAGGGGGCACCTGGGTGGCTCAATCAGTTAAGCATCTGACTCTTGGCTTCAGCTCAGGTCATGATCTCATGGTTTGTGAGATCAAGGCCTATATTAGGCTGTGTGCTGACAGCACTGAGCCTGCTTGGAATTCTCTCTCGTGCACTTTTTCTCTGCCTCTCCCCTGCTTATACTCTTTCTCAAAACAAACAAACAAACAAACAAACAAAAACAAACAGGTTCCCCAGGTAATACTTATGTACACAAAGCGTGCTTTATTAGTTATGGGAAGGGGTATTACTGTTTTTTCTAAGTATTTATTAATAATTCAACCTTGCATCAGGTAGTTAATGTAACATAGCATCAGACATTTTTGAGCATGTTATTTATCCAACACGCTTAACTGTCTGTGAAGAACATCTTTATTAGGAAAATGGTATCAGAATCACAGAATTTAACAGTATACTTACTTAAGAGAGACTTTTCTCTTAAAATATAAAGAATATGCCGAATCTGCACAGAACACTGGAGAACATCTAAGGTCTTCCTTAATTGGACTCAAACCTGGGTTGGAGTAATGATTCATCAGGCAATAACTGTAATAATTTGAATGCTGGCAAGTGGCTGATAAAACATCTGTAATTTATCAAATGAAAGGATATAGCTAATTCAAGTAGTTTTAAGCTTTAAAGGTATATGAATATGTGACAGGAGTAGGTGATCATTTTAAGATTTATTCCATAAATAAAGTCATTTAAGATACCATTCATTCCCTTCTCTTAAGGAGTTTATCAACTTAAAAGTTTATTTTACAAGTTATGTATACCCTATATCGTATATATCACACATATATATCACATATATATAAAATAATATATGCCCAGACATATGTAATGCCCAGTAACCTGGAGAGCTACTTAATACTCAGATATCTGATCCCCATTTTCTAGAGACTCTGATTCAGAGGTTTATGTACATCTCATGCATTTTCTTCCAACAGGAAATCCGGACTGAGAAACACTGCTATATGTAATAAAGAATGGAAAAGTATAATAGACTTTTAAAAGATTGTCATCCAAAATGCATTAAAACAGAATTAAATTTGTGCTTAAGAAGGGCCTAAACCTTCAGCTGTTTAGGAATTCTGTGTATCTAGAATGGTCCATTCACTATATTTTACAAGTAAGGTGGACCTTTTTAGACTTGGATGTGAGAGATACGTTGTATATACTACAGAGCTCTTGACTCGAATATATACCATATTAACCCTGTGACCTCATGATAGTCTTAAGATTTTGTTTTCTTCAAAAGTACTCAATATTTCAAAAACCTGAGGCAGTATGGTCCATTTATTCAGCTAGTACTTATAGGGATCTGCTCTGTGCTAGGCATTAGAATTGGAAGTGTGTGAGTCTGTGCTAGGTACACCATCTTAGAGTTTACATTTTATTTGTAAATTATTTGATAAGTATGATGAGAGAAAAGTATCCTCTTTGCTTCCTATCTTAAAGTATCAAAAAAATCTTTCCTGCCCCACAACAGTATGCCATGAAAGTAATTTGGGGAAATACTTAAGGACCTAGGTTCTTCAATAGATTTACAGTAAAATTCATGGTTTGTCTTATTTGAAGACAGAAGGATGGTTTTCATAATAGACCCAATATATCTCCTCTCTTTCCAAATGACCTCTTTCATTTTCCTAGTTCAGGGATCTGATAGTCTTTTCAGAAAAGAAATGCCTCAAACTGTCCCTGGTTGTTTAGAGTTTTAAGCCAACAAGGGGAAACCAAACTATGATTATAGGTTCATGGCTATTTTGGCTCCATATGGCAAAATGGACTTCTTATCTCCCCTACGAACCTCCCCTTCCTTCATCTTTTTCTACGATCTTGAGTATATGTTGCTGCTGCTTCTTACGACTGTGATAGAAGAGTAACATTTTATAGCATTACCAAAATCTTTCAAGTTCATTATGACATTTAAAATTCACTGCAGTCCTGAAAGGTTAAGTATTTTCACTAAGCCCCATTTTATAGAAGACAAAACTGAATTTTGGGAAGGTCTTGGGCCTTGCACGAGATCACAAGAGTCAAGAAAAGGCAGAGTTGGAATTTAACCACAGATTTAACTTGACACATCCCCTGTATCTTAAACACATACATCCCAGCCATTAGATACTCCCTTTACATTCCATAGTGCTCCCCAAAGTTCTTCTTTTGTCCATTCATTTAATAGGAATTTTGGTCATATCTTAAGTTATCTCCCAGTTTAATCAGTAAAAACTTTACTACTGTGTAATAGCCTCCCAAAATTCCATATTTTAAACACATTGAGCCACTCTAATTGTACAGATTTCTGCAATCGTATTTTCTTTCTTCTTCTGTTTAATGACTCTTCTTGTTTACCCTCAACAATAGCTGGAACAATGGTCAAAAATTTGAAAATTTTCTTTTTTACTGTCAGGATGTCGCTCAGGGACTCAAAAGTGAACCTTTTAAGTGAGAACATTTAATCACTCATTTTAGAACTTAAAGGTTCTACTTCTAAATACCAACAGGAATGACAAATGATTATGTGTGATCTATCATTGCTGGAATCTTAAAGTCCTGAAAGAGTCATGCTCCTCTTCTTAAAAAGAAATGTTTTTTTCAGCTGCTTTTGAAATGTTCAGTATGTTTTCAGTTTACTGATTTGGGATCTTACATGATAGAATGCCATTAGAACAATTTTCTTGGCAGTGGAAGCAACCTGTGGTATGAATCTATTGCCTTTCATACTTCCGACATCTTGGGCACTCAGTAATGCTGGCTTCTTTAGTTGATTTTGTGACTGCCAACAATCCAATGTTTTCTGATTTTTGGTTTTGCAAGAAAATCATCGCCAGTCTACTGCTTGGCTAGCAAATATATTTGTTTTGAATTTTGCCGTTTTCTTATTTCACAGTAAATGTGCTAGTGAGTGTTTCTGATAATCTGTATTTTTATTAGAAACATTTTTTTTAAATAATCCAGTGAAGACAAAGGTACTTGCAAAGAGATATGTCTTGCACAACCCAGTCTGGTTTGAAAGAATGTTGCCAACTATTCTCTGAGGTAAAACTTTTTTTTCTTTTTTTTTTTTAAGGTACCACCGTAGCACTCATTATTCTTGCTTTGGGATTTCTGCTGTCAGCCCAGGTTTCCCCACGCATCACGTTTAAACCGGTAGCTCCATCAGGACAGAATACTACTTGCACAAGATACAGGTGAGATTTTATAACGGTCCCCTGTGTTAACCTAACTCTGCTAACTTTTTCGTTTACTTTTAACTTTGCTACAATTTGAGAGTTGAGTAGAAGCTTGCATACAGAGGAAGGTAAGAGTGAGAAAGGTGGTGGGAAGGGACCACCAGAAGGAGGAACAGCGTTTGCAAAGACATGAGGGTAAAAGTGGTTAAGGAAATGTGAGTTTTAGACACAGTGTTGATGATATTTTAAAGTTGGGATGGACTCTAACCAGAAATACTGTGAAACCATTTTAAATTATATTTGCCTCAGTGGCATCTACATTCCAGGTAAAAAATAAATACTGACATGAGTAATTAAACTCTTCTATGATAGACATGTCTGATATAGTAGATTATCATCTGCATATTCTCACAGTCTTCACAGACTTCCACAGGTATCCCCTCATTCATAAGCAGAAAAGGAAGTTTTCTTTCACTGCTGGGGTTCTTATAGAGCATTAGAAAGTGGAAGCAAATGGTGGAAGAAAGTGGAATATATTCTGATGACCAATTGCAGGTGTCGGAGCTCTAATGTTAAGTCTCATGGTAGACACACTTAGATGTGATTAGATGGTTGGAGAGATGGATGGATAGACAGATGGACTGAAGAATGAACAAATGGCTTAATTAGAGATTGAATGACCAGAGTAATTATATGGCACCAGAGTTTCAAAGTTTATAACTTCATTTTAGTGGGTTGAAAAGGCTAGCAGCCGCTTTAAAATATATGGCTAGAATAAGACCTAGCTTTAAAAACAAAATATAATATTCCAGCAGTCTCAATTAGATGGACACAAGTCTCAAGTCAATGGACGAATGATTTGTTAATTTATTAACTTTTAGTCAGATACTCATATGAAATTAAAACACTACATTGAAATACTAAATTCCACTGGGGTTCCACTTGGAAGTTCTTATTGAGCAGGTATTGTATTTATGGTGTAATTCTTGTTGCAATAATGAGGAAGCTATCTATTGCTATGCTTTCCTGGTCCAAAATTCTGATATTCACTTTCCTTTCAAAATAAATGGTTCTACTCCTTCTTTCTCTTACTAATAAGGTTACTTATTTATTGGCTTACTGATTTTTTTAGTAGTCTTTATCTTGTTCTAAAGAAGACTTAAAGGTGTCTTGATAAAAGAAGTTAGCTTTAGAATAGACCATACCTAGATGTAGTGATATTTAGTTTCTTTGGACATCCCCCACATCAACTGCTAGATGGTAGAGACATTACCAGAATTCTACATGCTCTACTACTTTCTTTTCTTAGAAATTTTTTTAATGTTTCTTTTTGAGAGAGAGAGCACGAGCAGGGAAAGAGCAGAGAGAGAGGTAGATACAAACTCTGAAGGAGGCTCCAGGCTTTGAGCTGTCAGCACAGGGCCCAACATGGGACTTGTACCCACAAACTGTGAGATTGTGACCTGATCTGAAGTCGCCTGCTCAACCTACTGAGCCACCCAGATGCCCTAAGGACTCTTTTATTTTGCTCCATTGATAAATGTGTCTGTTTCTGTGGCAGACCACATTGTTTTAATTACAGTAGCTTTGTGGTATATGTTGAAATCTAGGATTGTGATACCTCCAGCTTTGCTCTTCTTTCTCAGGAAAGCTTTCACTAGGCCTTTTGTGATTCTAATACAAATTTAGAATTATTTGAATTATGTGAAAATTGCTGTTGGTATTTTGATAGGATTGCATGAAATCTGTAGATTGCTTTGGGTTGTATGAACATTTTAATGATATTAATTCTTCCACTCTGTGAGCATGGTATAACTTTCCATTTGTGTTGTCTTCAATTTCTTTCATCGATGTCTTACCATCTTCAGAATATGGGTCTTCCACCTTTACTCTTTTTGGTACGGTTGTAAATAGAACTGGTTTTTTGTTGTTGTTGTTAAATTCTCCTTTTGCTACTTCATTATTAGTACACAGAGAATGCAAGAGATTTCATTATATTACTTTGGATCCTGCAATTTTTTGAATTCATTCAATAGTAATGTTTTTCTGGTGGAATCTTTAGTTTTCTATATGTCATACCATATCATCTGCAAATAGTGACAGTTTTATTTCTTCCTTACCTATTTAGATGCCCTTTATTTCTTTTTCTTGTCTGATTGCTGCCGTAGGATTTCCAGTACTTTGTTGAGTAAAAGTGGTAAGAGTGGACATCTGTGTCTTGTTCCTGATCTCAGAGGAAAATCTTTGAGGTTTTTTTTTACCATTCTTACAATTTTTTACCATTAATATGGTGTTAGCTATGGGTTTTTCATATATATGGCTTTTATTATGTTGACATGTTCCCTCTAAATCCACTTTATTGAAAGTTTTTATCAGTAATGAATATTACATTTTGTCAGATTTTTTTTTTCTGTGCCTGTTGAGATGATCATTTGGTTTTATTCTTCCTCTTGTTAATATGACATACCACACTGATTGATTTTTGAATATTGAGCCACCTTTGAGCCCTAGAAAAATCCCACTTGGTTATGGTGAATGATTTTTAAGTGTATTGTTGAATTCAGTTTGCTAATAACTTTTTTTTAGGATTTTTGCATCTGTTTTCATCAGAGATACTGGCCTCTAATTTTCATTTTTTGTAGTGTCTTTGGTTTTGGTATCAGGGTAGTACTGGCCTAAGCTTTCTGTCCTCTTCTATTTTTTGGAACTGTTTGAGAAGAGTAAATATGAACTCTTCTTTAAGTGTTTGGTTGAATTCACCTGTGAAGCCATCTGGTTCTGGACTTGTGTTTGTTGGGAGGGTTGTTGTTTTTTGTTTTGTTTTGTTTTGTTTTTGATAATTCATTCAGCTTCATTACTAGTAATTGTTCAGTTCATATTTTCTATTTCTTCCTGATTGAGTTTTGGAAGATTGTATGTTTCTAGGAATTTATCTATTTTTTTCTAGGTTATCCAGTTTTTTGGCATATAGTTCTTCACAATATTCTCTTGTAATCCCTTTGTATTTTTTTAGTGTCAGTTGTTATTTTTTGTCCTTCATTTCTGATTTTATGTATTCACATCCTCTCCCTTTTTTTGTTGATGAGTCTGGCTCAAGGTTTATTATTTTGTTGTTGTGTTTTTTTTTTTAAAGAACCAGCTCTTGGTTTCATTGCTCCTTTCTATTTCTTTTTTTAGTCTTTATTTCATTTATTTTCAGTTGAATATTATTTCCTTCCTTCCACTTGCTATGGGCTTTAATCTTCTTTGCCTAGCTCCTATAGGTATAGGACTAGGTTGTTTGAATTTTTTGTTTGTTTGAGGCTGGCTTGTATCACTATAAATTTCCCTCTTGTAACTGCTTTTACTATGTCCCAGAGGTTTTGGACAATGTGTTATCATTTTCATTTGTCTCTGTGTATTTTTTATTTCCACTTCTATTTCTTGTTTGGTCCACTTATAGTTTAGTCTCCATGTGTTTGTATGTGTTCCAGAATTATTTCTTGTAATTTATTTCTAGTTTCATACCATTAGGGTAGGAAAAGATGCTTGATATGATTTCAGCCTTCTTATATTTACTGAGATTGTGTGGCCCAAGATATGATCTGTGCGGTTGATCATCTGGTCTAATGTGTCTTCAAAGCCAGTTTTCTTATTGATTTTCTGTTCCCTATTATTATTGTATTACTGTCAAATTTCTCCCTTTATGTCTGTTAATATTCACTTTATCTATTTAGGTGCTCCAATCTTGGGTGCATAGATATTTACAATTGTTATATTCTCAATCCCTTTATCATTATGTAGTATCCTTCTTTTCTTTTGCTACAGTGTTTTTAAGTCAGTTTTGTCTGATACAAGTATTGGTATCTTGGCTTATTTTTGCACCTCTGTCTTTATGAGATATATCATTCAGATAACATTGCTAGGTAGAGTATTCTAGTTTAGAGGCTCTTTCCTTCCAGCACTTTCAGTATATCATGCCACTCCCTTCTTGCCTTCAAAGTTTCTGCTAAAAATGTGGTTAGCTGTATGTTTTCCCTTGTATGTAATGGCTTTCTTTTCTCTCATTTCTTTATTTTTTTTCTTTGCATGTATAATTTATATTTATTGATTTCCTGGCTTTCAGTAGCCTATGGATAACAGTAAAAATGCATTATAGAAGAAAATGTACAATTAGTTCGAGAGCGAACTTTGGCATAATGGATGGATCAGCACATGTTTGGGGCAAATATAAAGCTTTATTAACTGTCAGAAGCAGTTACAATTGATGAGTGTTATTTCACTATATATCTTTCTGCTGATTATTGTTTTTTTTAAAGAGTCTCTTTAATGGGAAGCTGATAGGTTGGCTAAATTTACATTTTAATCTGTATTTATGAGAGAGGTGGCCCCAGAAACTCATTGGCAGAGACAACATTCCTGAGGGATTGGGGCAGGGAGTCAGCTTTGGAATCTGTCCACTCACCTATTCTGTTATTTATCCAAAAGTATCTGTATGGGGAAGGGTGAAAAATCTACTGGCCTCCTTACCACTGGCCACATTCCCACACTCCAATTAATCTCCAGGAGAAAGGGCCAGATGTTTGTCCTGCCCAGAGAATGGAACTCCGGTCACACTTGTGTGTCTTCTGTCACTGGGTATCAAAGCCAGCACCATGGGCAGTGGCATCAGCTCCCAAGCTTCCTCACCAAGGATTCCACATAAGAGGGAGTGATATCTTGGCCCAAGGAAAGGCAACACTCTCTTGGAACCTGCTTCTCCTGTTTCCTAACTGGATTTATGGCCAACCCAACAGGCTCCAAGGAAAACACAGAAGAGACAATAGCCTCAGATCCAGAGGAGCATCTACTCACGTACATTGCTCAACAGTTCCCATTTTAAACCTAGAAGAGGGCCTGCACCTGAGTTGTAAGCCATTAAACTCTGGTTTTGTTAAGCAAGAACAGTAGTTAGGACGTGGAATAGTCAGAGAAAGGTTTTTGACAGGAAGTAAAGAAGTAAATCCTCCTGTAGCAATACCTTTCTCCCCCCTTTCGAG